CTCTTGATCTATAATTACACTAATATTATATATAGTGCAACTCTTACTTGAATACTAAAGTTTTAAGCCTAAGCTATAAATCTCCTTAGCCTTTTCTCCAACTCATTTAGTTTCTTGAATACATAAGATATTTATTTTTTTATGAACTATAATATTTACTAATTCTATTAACTTACCTGTGAGAGTATCTATATTCCAAGATCCTATTGTAATATTAATTCATTGACTTATTTATTTGTCTGCATCCCTCTATAATGTGGGAACTCTTGCTTACTTGACACTAAACCTGAACGTCAATATAGCGCAGCTCGTGTACATTTCTGACTGTATTCAGGTCATACAACGTGTGGTTTCTAGGAGTCGCCTTAGAATTTACACAATGATTTAAAAGATTTATGTCATGATTTTTCGACAAAAAATTTATGTTGGATGTCGATTACCTAACACAACCTTTCACTTTTCACATTCGAGTAAAATTATCATGCAGCAATATAGAATAGAATGAAAAAGTTGGCGAGTTTGAATCTCCATAGTTTTGAGACTTTGCACTTCCATCTTAGCATGATTAGTTCGAAGCTTTTGCCAAACTAGAACAAATAAAACATGCAAATTACAAGAGGGGAAACATCTTTTGAAAGGTGCATGTGGCTTTTTGCTCTTTATCCTATAAAATGACTTGAATAGTTCTCATATAAAGAGCTTAGCTATCATGTATTGGTAGCATGGTTTATGTAAGCCAGGATTGGTGATTAACTGATGATTTATTTTTTTAGTTAGTGACCAATTTCACAATGCAATAAACACCCAATAATAAGTACTATTTTTAAATAATGATTGCCTTCCATGTTCAACAATTTATTATTGGGCAAGTTGTTTTGCAGTTATTTGCGGGGTTGGCTTTACCACAAAGAAGCTCAATTGTGGTTCACTCGGGTTCCTAACATGGAGCCTTTAGTCAAGACACTTACATACGAGCGGGGCACATATTTTTGCTTTGACCCAAACACATGGGAGACGATTCGAAAGGTTTTCTTCTCACTTTTCTTCTCACTTTCAAAAGCTAAAATGCAGGCTTCAGTTTCAATCCCATTATAAACTTCTCTTTTTATATATAATTTTTATAGTTATATCAATTCAGAATTTAGTTTCCATGTTTGATAACTTTTTCTTGTCATAAAATATTATGAAAAATAAATTTAAGGTATCCAATATAGAGGATTAACTAGTTGAGATAGTTGTGGCTCTAGTTAAATTATACATTAACAGGTCTCAGAAACAACTAGTAGAATTTGGGGACTAAAAAGCTTTAGGGGCAGTCCAGGTCTCAGAAACAAAATTCTAGTAGAATTTGGGGACTAAAAAGCTTTAGGGGCATTTAAATACATACCACACAATTCTTATGTATTTACATTTCTAACATCTAAATATTTATATTTACATGTATGCCACTCAAATTTTTAGCGTTACATAAAAAATACCACCATCACTATCTTTCTAAAAGTAAAATACACATATGCTTGCATAGCTTTATGACAACAAGATGATATAACAGTAAATTAAAATTTTGGGTACTAGATATGTAAATACATAAGAATTGTGGTCCGTATGTAAATTTCCAAAAGTTATAATGAGAAGGTTTCATTCAAAATTCAAGTTTTAGGCGAAACCTTCCAGTTTCTTCCCAACACTCAAAATCAGGCAACTGAAAAATCCTCGCTACATTCTCTGTTATGATTTTTCTGCGTTTAATGGTCATTTTGTTGCAGGAAAATTTTGTTGTTCTTTATGAATCAGTAGAGAGGAAGCCTACTCTTCCAGCGCAGCATTAGCTAATTTGCTCGTCTTCAATCCCATTCAGTCTCCTACTGGTGAAGGCTCCTTGACTTCAGAGTTGATTGTTAATTTATTGAAAAATAACCCCTCTAATGTATAGTTTTAAAAGTTCGCATTTTTATACCATTTTACTAAAACTTTTTTTTAAGCTGATTTGACAAATGAATTTGATGGGTAGAGTTATCAAATAGAGGTGCATTTGTGTATAATATTGCTGCCTCCCTTGGTTTCATGTGCCAAGTAATTTGATTTACAGTTTTAGTGATTAGTGGGCGTTGAATTCTCATAATTGTTGGTGTGGATGATGCTGAATGTGATTAAATATTGATATAGTATTATTATGGGGCATTTACATGCATACCACACAAATCCAATGTATTTATATATCTAACACCTAAACTTGTTCAAACTTATACCACAAATTTTTTATCACTGTTTTCTTATTTTAGTGATACATCTTTTGAGGCGGTCATATATGTAAAAAATGAACTTTAGAAATACATGAGAATTGAGTGGGTGTGGTTGCACTCAAAATGTTATTATAACCACTAAGTGATAAATTATATTTTTGTGTTGATTTGTCAATAATTAAAATTAATAAGCATTTAATTTGTCGTACAATAATAAAGTGCTAATCAACTAAAGTTTCTAAGAGCAAATCTCAACCATTGCGGACGATTCGACCTCAAACCCATCAAGAGTGGCTGAAGGTCATTCAATTCAATCTCGATCCAAGCAAAATATAACAAGACTTTCGCTTGATCCGATCCCCATTTGATCTAAGCAACTGTCATCAGTATTGATTCGATTAATTTTAGCCAAAAATAGATATGATTTTAATTAAATTTTAATCTTAAAATTTTAACTTGCGACTAATTTAGATTAAATTTGAGCTTTGAGGTCAAGGGTCTGTTTGGGGTAGCTATTGATTATTTATAATCTGCTGATAAGCATATTATTCTGATAATCTGTTGATTATCAAAATAATCTGACTTATTGTTTGAGTTTGTTTATTCAAAATAATTTATTGATAGTTATAGTTGTATAAATAATTTTTCTGCTCCTGTCTATTAAAATTGTTTGGGACAGCTTATTCAGAATAATTTATTGATAGTACATAAGCATATAATGCAGAAGCATAAAACCAATTTGAAAATTCTAAGCAGATATTTTGAGATTCATTCAAACACTACTTCTGCAGTCAGCGTCAATAGTATTCTGAGCTATCTTAAACATTACTGCTGGACATCTGGTGGAAGTTATGCCTTAGTAATGCTGCATTTTTTAAATAAATACATATAAATAATCATTTAGATTCACCTTTTGAATCCCAAATTAAATGATAAAAAGCCATAAGTTAGTACTTGAGAAAAAAATATATACTTTTTTCCTTAAAAAATAAATTCATCACATCATCATTATTTTTATTATTTAAATGTTGGAGATGTATATCATTTGTAATTTATTTTTTTATTTTTAAATATTTGAATGTCTTCTATATATTAAATTTATTTTGAAGTAAATGTAATATTAATTATCTATATATTATTAAGAGGATTAAGAACCAATCTAATTAAAAATTTCATTAGGATATATTTTGAACCCATTATTTTAGCCAAACTAATAACAATAAATACTGTTTGCCAAAATTGTGAGCTTACAATGATGCACTAATTTGCACAAATTTCATAAAAGTTATGAGCCATCAGCTATTGCTAACTTAGAAAGGAGTTCAAGGACATTCCTTGAATGGATGAAGGCCCATTTCGATCAGAAGGAAAAAACACAAGTTTAGGCCGAATTTTATAATGAGCACTTAATACCGTTGAACAAGAGGAATGAGCACAAAAAAAAATAAAAAATAAAAATAATAATAAATAAATAAATAATAAAAACTTGAGGTGGGCACAAAAATAAAAAAAATGGTGTCTCAATTTAAACGTTCAAAATCTTTAAAGTATGTTTCACCAGATAAAATAATTCTTAGTGGAAAAGAAAATCCAAAAACAAAAAAAAGATAAAATGGAGAGGCTCCCTGGGAAGAAGCTTGATGTGAGCGTATAATCAAAATTGGTGTATGAATTCTCCCCTAATTAATAAAACTTAAAAAGTTCACTTAAGAAAATTCTTCTGATATTATACTTTGAATAGATTCTATGAATGCCACAACTAAAAACGATGATATTGAAGAAAAATTTTGAGAGCAACAATTGCATTATTGACCATCACGATCATATTCTTTATATCCAACACTACTTTATTTCTATGTTGAATATAATATTTCTTTGTAAATATGTTACAACTGTATTTAAAAATGATATAAACTTCACAAACTTCATA